TAACAACTTGGTAACTACCCCCAAAACACTACTAAAATCACCTTCAGCTTCACAATGAGGCAGCCATTATAAATCAAACAGAGTAGCAAACGACTGGCACACTGGCTAGAAACAATAAGATATTGCGAATGTATTAATAATTTTCTAAAAAGACCCAATACCTCTAAAATAAGCACTGCCCCAAAAAAAAACTAAAAAGATGACCTAAAAGACTGAACAGTCCGGGGTAACACCCCCATTCCCAAAACCATAAAAACCAAAAAAACCCCCTATGAAAAAAAAAGTACAGAATGGGTTTTACTAACCAGAGACCCCAAAAAAAACGTTACTCGTCAATCCTAACCGCCTGATAAGAAGGGCAAAAAAAATTTTATTTTGAGAACAGTTATCCAACTTAGAGGGGATATAAAAAAAAACCCGGGAAAAACCCTATCAAAATTCTGGGAACAAAAAAAGATATCACGAAATAGCGAAATAAAAATTTGCAAAATCAGATGAACCCCCCAAATCCCCCCAAAAGAAACGCAAACAGACTCAAGATTTCTTCCCATATAGGGGGCAAACCTTGCCAATAAAATCCCCAAATCAGATACCCCCCAAAGATACCTCACCGGGAACTACCCAACACATGTTCCTAGCTCCGACTAACCCACACGAAGTCTCCCTTTTATCAACGCACTAAAAAAACAAGGAGGAGATTTAATACCTTACACCCTTTTAACAAAAAAAAATGTCACAAGTGCTATCACCAATATTGCAACCTCTTTAAAAATCCCTTGAAACCTCCCCCCTTCCCCACAGTACTCAAATAGAAGGGTCACCCCCCATCCACAAAGGAGGAGACCAAACAGGATGAATAAATTAGGCAATACCCAAATTAACCCCCCTTTTCAAAAATTTCGAAAAAATTAATTTATAAACGAAACTACTCCTACCTTATCTCCCAAAACATTCTCAACCCTGCCAATTTTGGGTTCAGGCCTAATAAAAATACTAAAGATGTATTATAACAGCTAGAAACAAATACACTGCAAAAGAGAAAAAAGGTCCCACTGGGGATCTTCATTGACTTACGTAAAGCTTTTGATCATTGCCAGGGCTTGTCCACTAAAATTGTCACATATGGTATAAGAGGGACTCCCCCAACTACCTAAGTCATACCTCAGCAAAGAAACCCAAATGTGTACGCAAATGGGCAAACTTTCTGCACAACCAAATTTCAGTTGGTGTCCCACGGGGAAATTCCTTGGGCCCCCTTTTCTTTCTCCCATACATAAATGACCTACCAAATGTTCGCAATTTCTCAACCCACACTATTTGCGTGAATTAAAACGTCTTCTCCCCCCCGAGCCCCGTCACGCTGCTACTGAAAATACCCAATTACAGAAAAAAAATACCCGGATGAGGACTAAAAAACTTACATTTTCATTAAAAAAAACCCCCCCTTCATTCAGTTTGGTAACAGGACAGTTTTCCTTTACATTGATAAACGGTCACCTATCCAAAAATAACAGAGGGGAAAATTCTTAGGAATCCCCCTTGTAAAAGACTCAAATTTCATACAATATACAACAAATTTCTAAAAAAATTTCCAAGGTGTAGGCATACATGAAAATACGCTATATGCTCCCCAGTCAGCCCTCCCGGCCCCATATCACTCTTTTATTTACCCCCATCTCACTATGGAATTTGTGCATGGGGTCAACAACAATTAACCATCTCAAACACTATTACCCAAACAAAAGGCTGCAGTTAGAATGATAACAAATTCTCACCCCAGGCAGCACACTCCACCATTTCAATACACTAAACCTACTCACCTTTACAAACATCCATATTATTTACTGCCCCTATTACATACATAGAAAAACTTAACTCTGATATTAACCCTCCCTAAAACATCTCCTGCCAACTAACAGAAAACATGACCTTTACACAAGGAAACAGATCACTCTTTGAGTGTTCCTCGTGTCCATTCACATTTATGCAAAAACTCAATCACATAAAAGGCCCTAAAATCTGGAATTCATTACCTGTAAATATAAGAAACACTACTGTTTATAAATTCAAGTCTCCTTCAAAGATCATTTACTACCCAAAAACCAATTTAAATAGAATAACTGAACTTATAAATTGTATATTTTAAAATGTTTCTCACTTATATCAAAAATGTTAAACCTAAAACCATCTAACTTACTATTTTTTAAATACACTACCTAACAGAATTCTCCTTACGATGAATGTACAAAAATGCATGCAACCATATGCCTGTCTTTGAATACTCACTTGTGCTTTATAGTAATCTGTTTACATTAATTTTTTAAATCATGATTTCATCTTTGGGCTTAGTTAATCTTAAGTTAATTTTTAAGCCGGGCCCGTAATGCTATGCTAGTATAAGTGGCTTTGGCATGCGGGCTTTATCTGAATTTTTTTTTTTTGTTACCTCTGTATGTGTGCTCAAATTGTAAATAAAATAAAATAAATAAATAAAAATAAAATGTTACAGAATTATGAGATAAGTTGGTTTTTTATGGCTATGTAAATAAATATGTTGTGAGGTTTGCAATGTGAATGCTTTTGTTTTGGGCACTATACATAGTTTCAGTATTGGAGTATCACAGGCCAACTTTTGACTAGTTAAGATTCATTATTTGAGATTGAGATTGATATTTCTGTTTATGGTTTCAAATGGGTGAGTGAGTGAAAGTGTGAACCACAGGTTGGTATTCGTTTAAATTAGTTGACAGGGTGTATCAGGGAGATAAGATGTTTTCTGATGGTAGTTTTGAAGGTGATGAATGTGTCTGCAGTTTTGGAATTTTCAGGTAGGGTGTTCCAGATTTTAGGGCCTTTGACATACATTGAATTTTTTGTAAAGGTTTAGTCGGCCCACGGGGAATGTCATAGAGATGTTTGTGTCTGGTGTTGTCCCTGTGGGTTCTGTCACAACTATAAAGAAAGCGTTTTAGGTCAAGGTTAATATTGGAATTTAAGGTCCTGTAGATGTAGATTTCACGTAGTAAGTGTGGATGTACTGACAGGGAGTAAGTTTAGAGTATGAAGAGTGGGGGGGGGGGGTTGCCAGGGATGGATTTAGTGATTATTCTTACCCGGGGCTTTTTGTTGGGTTATTATTGGCTTTAGGTGTGTTGCTGCAGTTGAACCCCAAGCACGATAGCTAGGTGAGGTATGGATATATAAGTGAATGGTATAGTGCGAGAAGGCAGTTTGCGCCGTAGTATCGTATCTTGGAGAGGATCCCAACCGTTTTGGGTACTTTTTTGGTTATGTATTGGATATGGGTGCTGAAGTTCAGGTTGTTGTCGAGGTATAGGCCTAGGAATTTGCCCTCATTATGCTGGAATTAGAGTGTTGTCGATCTTAATGTTAATTTGCGCATCTCCCGCTCTGCTACCAAACATAATGTAGTAGGTTTTGTCACGTTAAGCTTTAAATTTATTGGCTGTCATCCAAGTCGATATTTTGATCAGCTCCTCATTAACAATGGTGTTGAGGGTTGCAAGATTAGGGTGAGAGATGACAAAAGTCGTGTCGTCAGCAAAGAGAATGGGGGTTTAGGTGTCGAGATAGTTTGGAAGATCATTGATGTATATGAGGAAGAAAACAGGGGACCAAGGACACTTCCCTGCGGAACTCCAGTATCAAGTGGCTGTGTTGTTGATGCTGTGTCTTTAATGGTGACATACTAAAACTATTAGTAAGGTAAGATTTGAAATATGCAAGCGCATGGCCTCTTATACCATATTGGTCAAATTTGTGGAGTAGGATGCCGTGGTCTACTGTGTCCAAAGCTTTTCTTAGGTCAATAAAAATTTTTAGTGGATATTCCTTATTTTCCCAAAGCGTGTAAAGCAGATCTAGCATTTTTATATTTCATCGTTAGTGCTTTTATTTTTCCTGAATCCAAATTTTGGGAGGGGTTGGTATTTTTTTGTGACGTTTAAATGAATATAGTCTCCTGTGACGAGTTTCTCAAAGATTTTGGATAGCATGGTAAGTTTGATATTGGCCTATAGTTGTTTAAATCTGTAGGGTCACCACCTTTTTTGTATTGGGGTAACCCTTGCCGTCTTGAGTAGTTTCGGGAAGGTGCTAGCTTCTAGTGACTTGTTAAAAAAGCAATGAGATAGTATGCGAGAGGACATGGGCCACTCTCTTGTACAATAATGGTGGGACATGAGACAGATTCCCTGAGTTATTTTTAGTGACTTTATAATCTCGGTGACTTCCTTTGGACTCAGTTGGAGCAAGATAGAAGGAATTTGGGAAATTCCATCTAGGTAGCCCCCGGCATGGGCATTGGTACGTGGGATTTTATTGGCGAGATTGAACCTATGGTTGAGAAGAAGTCGTTTATCTTGTTAGCTGTGTCGGTGGGTTGCAGTGGTGTTTCATTAGGTTTAGTTAGGACAATATTCTTTACAGCCTGCGGCTACTGAGGGACTTACTGTCTGTTCTCCACACACTGCCAGCACACAAGTTGCCATGTAGAGTACGTATTTGAAAAGATATCATAAAATCGTAATTTTGGGAGAAAAAACAACTGCTAATTGCCAACATGTATTTTTGCTGACAGCAGAAAAAAAAAAATACATTTAATGAAAAAAATACTTAGAAATATGATAGAAACAAGCTGATTACATCAAAATGTTGCCGGGATTTTGCACTATTTTTAAGTAAGAAACATTTTTTTCCGTAATTTTTCAATTTTAATGTCCTGATCACTGAAAAAGGCTCATCCCTCCCTTCAGTTGTCACTAAATGTGTTTAGTGTGAGGTAGTCTGTAGACTGCTCCAACTGCTATAGGTTTTTTTTAGGTTTTTGAATGTGAATTTTGCAAATATATATTCACCATATTCTCCATGGTGCAAGCAGACTTAAATAATAAAAATATAATAATAAATATAAAAATAATAATACAAAACTAGTAGGTAATAAACAGCCAACTGAGCAACTGAGTCTGCCTGTTTGTTACCTTGAACATCGTGTCCAGGGAGCCAGCAAAAAATAAGGTCTTTGTGTTTGTTTTGAAATACACCACAACCAAAGTTGTACAGTGGACCCTCCATTTTTGTTGATCTCTGTTTTCGTTGATTTCGGGTTTTTGCCAACTGTTTTCGTCAAAATATTGCCTCCGTTTTTATTGCTTTTTCCCCGGTTTTTTTTGTTGGTCTGGTACGTGTCTGGGGTGCCCTGCGCACACACAAAGCCTCCCCACACACATTCTCAGGCAGTGTTGTGTTGTTGCTTGGTGAGTGAACATTATCCTGTGAGGTCATACGAACATTTGTTAACCCCCTTGGGCTGTCGGAAACCCAATCCTGAGGCGTCTCCTGGTGTGCAAAATTTAAAAAAAAAAAAATTATTTTTTTCTTACGAATGATAGAGAATCTTTTCTTGATTGTAATGACACCAAAAAAAAAAAAACGAAATTTGTGGAAAAACTGATGGAATTACGCTCCCCACAAAGTTAAAAGACCTCGGCAATATTTACAAATTGGCAATTTCGCCCACTTTGAGCCCTATTTTCGGCTAATTCCATTGATCCAGTCGACCAAACTCATAGCTATTTCTTTTTGAAAATCCATTTTTTTCTATCAATTGAGTACAAGAAATGCCCTTACCGATTTCAACTACCCAATAACATGGTCAGAAATTTGCAATTTTTGGGCCCAAATTTCACAAAAATAATAAAATATGAAAATTTCAAAATAAGGTCCAGAATGAACAATGCAGACATTCCTGGCTCTAAAATAACATTTTCTTTGTTCATCAGTCACGTCTCCTGGCCCCCCTGATATTACTCTTGCTTTCTATTTTTATTCAAACAAAAAATAGAAAATTTACTGTTATGCAGACTACTGCAATACTGTAATAATTGTACAAAATAATGTAACCCATTTCATGACTGCATATTAGAATGGCTAGTTGGACATTTATTGGACAATGACACCATTTGTTTTTCTTTTTGGGCGGCAAAATCAAACATTTCCCCTACTTTGAGCTCCATTTCCAGGTTCTTTTTATAGTAAAACCATAGTATTTCTATAATATGTTTTCCATTCTATCAAATGAGACCAAAAAAACAAGGGAAAATAACCATAAATTTTTATACAAAAAAAAGACCACAAAAATTGGCATTTTAATTAAAAACAAAATAGTCGGGGTTTATTTTTTCTCATTATGCTCTGCGTGCTCCCGGATTTTTTTATATGGTTTCACACTGACCACACAGACCCATTCTCTCACATGTGGCCCTACCAGCTTTCTCCTGATTGATTTGAAGCCCCTAGAATTTATGAGTATATATTACGTCAAAACGGTACCTTAAGACGTATATATACGACGAAACAGTCAAAGGGCTAATAATCATTGTTTTGGGCATTGTTTTTGTGTGTGATGTAAATAAGCCACCATGGGCCCGAAAGTCCCGTGCCAGTCCTTTGGTAAAGTAGCTTTAAAATTTCTAAAAAGAAAGTGAAGAACCCATAGAATTAAAAAAAGAAAACATCCAAATATGTATATGTAGTGGCATAGTTGGCCCACCTCACCGGAGAAAGGAAGCGCCATCAACTTCGTTCCTTTGTGAAGAAAAAGAAAACAAGGAAACTGATGTTGCAAAAAAGGGCCCAAAAGTGATAATGAAACAGAGATCAAAAACCCTTGAAATGGGGAAAATTTTTGTCGGGGGATCAACGAAAAACAGTTAAGGGGAGATAGTATTGTGTAGACGTAATCTGCGAAAAGGCAGGCAGTTTCACGACGATCTAAAAAAGAAAAGCCTAAAACTAGTGCTGATGTTAGGATTTAAGGCCAAAAAGGCTGGTTCGAAAAATTAAAGAGGCGAAGTGGATACACAGGTTGAAAGGGGAATGGGGGGTTGCAAGTTCAGACAAACTGGGGTAAAAAAATTCGTACGGAAATTCAAAGATCATGTAGAGGCTGAAAAATTTGCCCCCAAAACAAGTGTTCAATTGTGAAAAAAACAGGCCTCTTTTGGGAGAAAATGCCAAAGAGGACCTAATCATACAGGAGGAAAAGGGCACTCCCATGAAAAAAACCCTATGAAAGACAGGCTAACTTCTTTTTGTTGGAAATGTAGTGGGGATTTCAAAGTAAAGTTTTGACTGGTGTTCACCTGACAACCCCGGTGTTCAAGAAAAACATTTGCTTCCAGAGTAAATTATGTGTGATGTGGAAGCTAACAGTAAGGCATGGTCATGGGGAAAATTTTCCCTGGAATGGTTCAATGAAGTGTTTTGCCCAGGGGAAAGAAATCCTCCTGGATAAAAAATTGCCCTCCAGTGCCTCCTGTTAATGGTAATGCCCCTGTCATCCCCCAGCTTGGAAGCCCAATTGTTTGGTTTCAGTTTTGTAACAGTGAAGTTCTTCCCTCCAAACCCCCATCATCTCATCCCCCCCATGGCCCAGCAGTCTTTTGCAAACTTCAAAAACTGTACCAAAAAAAGCAATTTTTCAAAGGTGCTTTGATGTGCCTCAGACATAAATTGACCCTAAGAGAGTTTGGAGGGATCACTTAAATATTTTCCCTTTGTAAAGCCTTAAAGAAAAGGGCTTGGCGGGAGTGACTTCCAGGATGATAAAATGCTTGGAGAAAAATTTTGGCCGATTTTGTCCAAGAGGATTTTTAAGGGTTTGGGGGGGACCCGTCGACCTTCTGCCCGTTGTGGAAAAAATTGTGGTAGTGGGAATTCCCTGGGGGTTTGGGTGTGAGTGGGAAGGATGTAGAAGAGTTGGAGGACCCCAAAGAAAAGGTAACCAGTGAAGAGCTGCAACACCCTCTGCACAGCAACAGAGCATATTGAGGGAAAATTTCTTAAGGAGGAGGAAAAGAGGGTGGAAGATGGTGCCTTCTTCAGAGTTAAGGAGATTTGTGCAAGTGGAGTAGGGTGCAAGATTTGTGGAGAAACATCACCTAAAAAAAAGGTTTTTAACCCAATGTGGCGACTTTTACAAGGGAAAATTTGGCCTGCCCCTTTTAGGGGAAATTTTAAAGGGAGCGCCAAAAAACAGGCTGTCTGGACCAATTTTTGTGCGACAGGGGCCCCAGTGACTCTCAAGGGGGTTCAGGGGGCAGAAAAAAGACAAAGAAAAAAATGACCCAAGAGGGACTTGATCCCTGAAGCCCCTATGGTGGGGGGGGGGGATTCCCCTACCAAAGAATCCCCCTCTCTTCCTTTTTCCCCTCCTCCCTGTTTTCCCTTACCCCAAGAGTTTTTCAATAAAGGAAAGTATCATGTTGAATGTTATTTTTTTCTGCAGTAAATTATTTTTTAAAGGGAAAAAAAAAATTTTTTTTTAATACTTTTGGGTTTTGGGAAAAGGTTTAAATTTGGATTTATGTTATTTTTTTGGGGAAAAAATTTTGGTTTTCTTTTTTCCACTGATTTTCCCCCCCCCTTTCCCCCAAGTCTACCCCTGGAAAAGGAATAAATGACGAAAAACCCGAGGGACCCCTTTGAAATATTTTGGTGATGGAATGAGGATGGGTAAATTTCTGGATGGGTTTTTGAAATGGAGGGTTAGTCCAAAATTGACTAAAAAAATAATGAGGTAAAACATCGATGCAAATGTATGAGGGCAGGGAAAACTGCATCCCAAACTCAGCGGTGAAAAAAAACTACCCCCAATTTTTTAAATTAAAAAACCTTAGATGTTTTTGTCTGAAAACTACTTTTTTAACATCAGGGAAATTTAAGCCTTTAAAAAGGGTGGAAACTAGCAAAATGAGAAGGGAAAAGTGATAAAAGAAAGGGGGTTAGCATAAATTTACAGTAGGTAAAGGGGAGGGGAAAAATTTGCAAACACAAATCATTGGGATTTTCAAAAGTGAGGAGACAAAAGTAAGGAGCCCGGGTGGACATAAAAAAAAAAGGCACATCAAGGGGAAACCAATAGAAAGCAAATACTGAGGGAAAGGGACATAGTAAACAGGGACAAAGATTTAAAAAAGTTTCTCCACTAAAAATTTGTTACCATCTTATAATAATAAAATAAAACAGTGGAAAACCCCTTTTCTTGCGAAACGTGGGCCCCATGCGAGTTTTTCCAAATTTCGACCCGTCGATGTGTCGAAATTTTTTTCTTTCACAGTGAGCAAAATTTCCAAAAAACGAGCAGACCTCAAGGGAGGTTCCTTTTTCACTGGTGAGGGGGTTTGATCTCGGGAATTTTTTTCTATTTGTTTGTGGGCTTCTTTTTGAAACTTGGGGGAAAGGATTTATGGAAAAAATTTCTTTTTTAAAAATACACCCAAAAAATTTTTAAAAAAAAACTAAGCATAAATTTAAAGGGGTTTACTTTTTCGGGAATTTGCAACCCCTTAGTGGGGTTTTTTTTTTAAAAGGTTTTTATGGTTGTATTCTCGCTTTTTTTGGGTTTATTTTTATAGAAAAGGAAGAAAATATTCAGGCAAGATATATTTCGATTGCTTTTACGGCCAAAAAAGTACCCTTTAAAATTTAGCTCAACGTAGGAGAAAAGGTTTCCCTTTTTGGCTTTGTTTTAGGGGTAAACAAATGATGTCATTGTCCCTTCCCCTTTTGCAGTCGTGAAGGGTTTAAATGAAATTTTTACAATTATTGCAAAAAAAGGGAAAAAAAGTAAATCTTAGTTTTTTTTTGTGAATAAAAATTACAAATTATTTATATAATATTTAATAATAATAATAATTAAATAATAATAATAATAATAATAATAATAATTGTATAATAATAATACGTATAATAATAATAGTACACCTACCATCCGACTTAGGGACCGAGTTCGGTTCCGAGAAACGGTCATAAGTTCGAAATGGTCGTAAGTTGAATTTTACTACTGAATATCAACCAAAACATTTTTGTAATGACTTTATTTTATGTTTTATTTTGGTATTTCATGTTTTACTTTACTTTTTATGTTGTTAGTACTGTATTTTATACTGTAAGGTTTAGGATTAAACACTGTGTACAACACAAATAGTTGTTTATTTCCAGAAATCTGGCATAAAAAACACGGTCGTAAGTCGAGTGGTCGTAAGTCGGATGGTAGGTGTTACAATAATGTAATACAAATAATAATAATAATAATAATAATATGTAT